ACTAGTCAGTTTTGAGGTTTCATATTTGCTATTCAAGTAGTAACACAATTTCATGCATTGTATTTCATTCATAATGTATTAAGTAATATTCCTAATATGCACATGATTCAAAAGCCATAGCATTTTAAAGTCCCATTTCATCTATCCTATATAATAAAGAGCTAATATGCATTGGTTGTCATGCCCTCGCACCCTTGCACCGGGGCTGGGGGACCTGAGGCTGGGGTGGGGGACCTGAGTCCATGCCCCCCACCCAGATGCCAGGCCAGGGATCTTTGGCTGAGCAGAGGGACCTGAAGCCATGCCCCCCCCCCCCAAGTGGGGCTTGACGAGGAACCTGAGGCTGCACACCTCCCCTGCCTGGCAGGGCATGATGGGGGACCTGAGGTTGCACCCCCCACCCTGTGGGGCTTGACGTTGGTGGGGGTGGTCAGGTCTGGGTCTCATGCGATTTTGAGGTGCACACAGGTGGGCAGGGACTTGACTCTGGGTCCCGCGGCATGCCCCAGACTCTGACAGGAGGGAGATTTTCATATACATTTTACTAACTTTCTTTCTTCTCTGACACTTCTATTATAGAGAAAGGGCAAATAGCAATTTATTTCCTCTAATTATTATATTTATTTAATATTTATTGAATAATTTCCTCTAATTAATTCCCTTTTAATGTTCATGAATTTCATGCACAAGGCCACTAGTAGAGTTATAATATGCAGGACCTGAGTATAAAACATTATCAAGGATGTACCAGTGTATACTGCAGAGTGTGAAGTTGCTTGTTCTCACTGAATTCTGTGTAAGAATGTGAAATTCTTTCAGACCTTTTGTCATTTTCAGAATTCTTGTATTCTGGAAATACAATGATAGTCCTATTAGCATTAATATAGCTAGATGGGTCTCTGAAAAAAGCTACAAAAAATAAATATTGTTTTTTCCTTTAGAGAATTTTTTACATCGTATATGGCTACGGAGATGGTTCTTTAGAAAATAAGCAATTAGTCATTTGATATTGACTGAGCTCAAATATTTGTAGCCAAGTCAGACTTAGTGGTGTTTTCCTAGGAAGACCAGATACTGCTAGGATAAGCCAAACAAGAGAAAGAGGTGTTTTTTTTTTTTTTTTTTTTTTTTTTTTTTTTTTTTTTTTTTAGCAGATGATCAAATGCTAAAAAGATAAAATAGAGATTATACACCTAAAAATCATTCCCCTGCTATCACAGAGGACAGGGGTTTGAGCAGGAGAGACAATGGGAAACAAAGAACGAGGGACAAGTGAATGAAATGAAGGGTGTTGAAAGTGCTTGGCCAGATAGAGGAGATATTTATTTTAATCTACTACAGTGGTCATAATACTGTAGTATGTACAACAAACTTGTTATGTAATTGGAAAGCACTCTTTTATAGGTTAACCCAATTTTTATTGTAAAACCTAAATTTCATTTCCCTTCTAAACATCTGCACAAAATTTATGAAGTTTTTTCTACTGAGGCCACAAAGAAAGTCCCAATAAATTATAAAAATTCAAGATTGTATAAGTCATGCTTTGTATCATACAGTTATATTATGAGTTAATTTTGAAAAAAAAGACAAAAAAATCTATTGGTTTAAAAGGAATTACAAATTCTAATTTTAATTGCAAGATAAGCTTTTCTTTATTTTAAAGCATTCAGAATTTGATATGTGCATAATTTATTTTAAAAGATAATGTGCTGTATAGACACAGAAAACCATGGTGATAACCAGAGGTAAAGGGGACATGTGGGAATTATAAGAGGGAATAGGGGGGAACTTGGGGCGGTGAACATACAATAGAGTATACAGGTGATGTATTATAAAACTGCATACCTGAAATCGACATAATTTTGTTAACCAATGTCATCCCAATAAATTCAATAAAACGATGAATACCTTAACAAACCCCCTCCCCCCAAAAGAGAAAGATAATGTGACCCCACATTAAAATGTTGATGAATATATATGAATTTTTTGTTTTAGGTAAAATTATATTACACACACACATATATATATATATATATATATATATATATGGAGAGAGAGAGAGAGAGGTAATATGCAAATTAGCAAGGACGTCCTAACAGTCATGACCAGCTCAGGAAGAGGCTGCATGCACAGATGCGTGGGAGGGGACTGCTTGCCGCCCCCAGTCCCCACACCTGCTGGGGCTGGGGGCGGACCTGGAGCAGAGACACAACACACAGGGGAGCCCGCCACCAGCCCCAGCAGCCGTGGCATGGCTGGGGCTGTGGGAGGGCCCAGAGCAGAGACACAACACACAGGGTGGCCCGCCCCTGCTGGGAGACAGCGCGCCAGCAGTCCCGCCTCTGCGCATGAGCTGCAGAGGAAACACCTTTTCTTACCACTCATTGGCTAAGCTCCTTGTATGCCACTCACAGTGTTCTTGGTAACTTGGGTAATAAGAATCCAAGAAGGTGATCTAGGGTTTTCCACCTCACTCCTGGAGGAAAAAATGAAAGTCTGCTGCTGGAGGGATAAGAAATGTCATATCCTGCCCTTGCTGGTTTGGCTCAGTGGATAGAGCCTGGGCCTGCGGACCACAGGGTCCGGATTCAATTCTGATCAAAGGCATGTACCTAGTTTTCAGGCTCCTCCCTGGCCAGGGCCCAGGTTAGGGCTCATGTAGGAGGCAACCAATGGAAGTGTCCTTCTCACATTGATGTTTCTCTCCATAGTTCCCTCTTCCATGTTTACTAAAAATCAATGGAAAAATATCCTCAGAGGAGGTAAGGAAAGAAAGAAAGAAAGAAAGAAAGAAAGAAAGAAAGAAAGAAAGAAAGAAAGAAAGAAAGAAAGAAATGTCATATCCTCTGAAAGAGACATCTTGAAAATGCCTAAAGAAAGTTGTCATTTTTTTTGTGGTGAAGGGACTGGAGTCCATGTTGATGAAAACACCTTAGTGGCTGTGGCAGCCAGCAATGGCAGCAGCAGTGGGGTGATGGGGGTGGTGCCTTCCCCTGATCAGCTGGTTGCCTCCTGCAGAGGGAGGCCAGACTATGGCTTAGGCCTAAGAGAGGGGGCAGGCTGGGCTGAGGGACCCCCCTCCCAGTGCACAAATTTTGTGCACCGGACCTGTAGTTTATTATATATGTACTAGAGGCCTGGTGCATGAAATTTGTGCACTCAGGGGGTCCCTCAGCCCAGCCTGCACCCGCTTGCAGTCTGGGAGCCCTCGGGGATGTCTGACTGCCATCTTAGGCCCGCTCCCCATGGGGAGAGGCTCCGGCCACCGCCACTGCGCTCACCAGCTGTGAACCCAGCTTCTGGCTGAGTGGTGCTCCCCCTGTGGGAGCGCACTGACCAGCAGGGGGCAGCTCTTGTGTTGAGCATCTGTCTCCTGGTGCTCAGTGCGTGTCATAGTGACCGGTTCTTCCACTGTTGGGTTGAAACTGGCTCTCTGACATCCCCTGAGGAATCCTGGATTGCAAGAGGGCACAGCCCAGGCTGAGGGATCCCACCAGTGCACAATCAGGGCCAGCCAGGGAGGGATCACTGGAGGGTTTCAAGGAGTGTCCAGCCTGTCTCGCTCAGTCCTGATTGGCGGACCCCAGCAGTAAGCTAACCTACCAGTGGGAGCATCTTCCCCCTGGTGGTCAGTGCATGTCATAGCGAGCGGTTGAGCAGACTTAGCATATCATTAGCATATTATGCTTTGATTGGTTGAATGCCCGACCGCACGACTGGACACTTAACATCTTAGACTTTTATTATATAGGATATGATCTTATTTGTAAGTTGAGTAAATACTGTAGTAGGCAGAATTCTAAGATTATTCCCAATAACCATCATCCTAATATAATGTCTTCCTCATGAATGTGTGTGAAATCTGCAAATACAATGAGATATCACTTTCATGATTATATCATTTGTGCAGCCAAAATTAGATTATCTAGATTAGGCCTTACCTAATCAAGTAATTTTTTTTCATTATTATTATTATTATTATTATTATTATTATTGTTATTTTGAGCAGAGAGTTTTCTTTGACATCTGGCAGAAAAGGAAGTCAGAGAGATAAATTCCTCCTTGGCCTTGAGAACACAAACCACCAGGTTTCCAACTGCATAAGAGGGCCATGTGTCAAGGTACAGTGTATGGCCTCAGTTCTTTAGGTGTCAGGAGGTGGATTTTGCCTAAAACCCAATGAGCTTGGAAGCAGGTTCTTTCTGAGTCTAGTTTCCAGATGAGAATGCAGCTTGGCTGACAATTTGATTTCAGCTTTTGAGACCCTGAGCAAAGGACCCTACTAATTCACAGTCCTGACTTATCAAAACAAGGAGATAAAAAGTTAGTGTTTGAAGTTGTCACGTATATAGTAATTTATTACATAGAGATAGAAAACTAATACAATTGCAAAAATGGTATCTTTTTTACATTTTTTGCCAAGTCCTTAACAAATTCTACTTTTTTCTTCTTTTGAATCCATCACATAACATGGTAAACCTTAAGGCAGGACAAAAAGGAGTCTTGCTTAGGATACACACAAAATGTAATATGGATTATTCATCAAAATGATATTTCAGAAGTCTATTTCTTGACTTAAAAATATGTTCCAATATGTTGTTAATTTTTTGAAAAAATGTTCTAACCTGGCCAGTGTGGCTCATGGTTGAGAGTCAACCATGAGCCAAGAGGTCCCCACTTTGATTCCCAGTTGTGGTACATGCCTGGGGATGTGGCTCAATTCCCAGTAGGGGGCTGTGGGAGGCAGCTGATCAATTACATTTCTCTATCACTCTCCCTTCTTCTCTTTCTAAAAATAAATATAAACATATATTTTTTAAAAAAGGTTCTAAATATATTTAGTAGTTGATTTATTATTTTTTTAATTTTTTTTCAGTGTAAAATTTTTGTATTTAGCATTTGCCAGCTGGACTCAGTTTAGATGATCCCAATTTTGTTGGCAACATCCAAAGCATCATAGTCAAGAGCCGTCGAACATATGCCTTCTTCTCCTCATCAGGTCAGATCAGGGTGTTGACCTTACCCACATCAGTGTCATAGAGCCAGTTTGATCTGGTGCTGTTGGATTTGCCATCCACAATAAACACAAGTGTGTTGTCTTCCATCTTTGTCATGGCGGACTCTGTGGTCAAGGGAACTTTGATGATGGCATAGTGGCCAAGCTTGTTTCTCCTGGGGGCGCTCTTCTGAGGATATTCAGCCTGCCTTCGGAGCCTCAGTGTCTTCCACCATGAGAAGGGGAGTGACATGTGGATATTCTCTTTTTTTGTGTGGCTGCGGGTGCCTTTCAGCACCGCTTTCTTTGCTTTCAAAACTTTTGCTTTGGCTTCAGTTTTGGGAGGGGCAGGGGCTTCCTTCTTTGCTTTTGGAGCCATCTTCATAAAAAGCTGATTTATTATTACTTTTTACATTTTTTTAATAAAAATATTTTTATTGATTTCAGAGAGGAAGGGAGAGGGAGAGAGAGAAAATATCAATGATGAGAGAGAATCATCGATTGGCTGCTTCCTGCATGCCCCACAGTGGGAATCGTGTCTGCAACCCTGGCATGTGCTCTGACGGGGAATCTAATGGTGACATCCTGGTTCACAGTTCTACACTCAACCACTGAGCCATGTTGGCCGGGCGAAGCTGATTTATTTTTATTCTACACATGTATTTACATTATTGTGGGCATGCATTCCCACACTATATACACATATGAGACTTTGATACTTTGCAAGGTAAATACCAAGATGTTAGTAACAATTACACAACTACTATTTACTGTAAGAAATTTAAAAATATAAATCACCTACATTTCATTAATCATCAAAAATACCAAATATTATCCAGAATTTTATGAAATTTAATGTGAGGTCCTGGACCTTTACTATTCTTTCCCTTTCCAAAATGTTTCACTGTTACTATTTTTAATGAACTACTAAATGTTTGTAATATTTGTGTATAAGTCAGAGTTCTCCAGAGACACAGAGCCCAGAGAATGTGTATAGGTGTATATAAGACGAGCTTGATTATAAGAATCAGAGCACACAGTTATGGAGGCCAGGAGTCCCACATTCTGCCCTCTGAAAGCTGAAGAACCAGAAAAGCTAGTGGTGTGATTTTGTCCGAGTCCAAGGCACAAGGAGAACCAGGGGCAGCTGCTGTAGGCTCCATATCCAAGAGCCCCACGTTCTAGGGCAGGGAAATATGGGCATTCCAGTGCAAGAACACAGAAAGAAAATTAAATTTGCTCTCTCTTTGTCTTTCTGTTGTATTTGGTCCTCAACAGATTGGATGATGTCCACCCATGTTTGTGAGAGCCCATCTCTTCATTCAGTCTATTAGAATCAGATGCTAACCTCTTCCAGAAATACCCTTATAGACACATCCAGAAATACTGTTTTCCCAGCTATCTGGACATCCCTGAGCCCAGTCAAATTGACACATAAAATGAACCATCACAATCTGTCCTAATATATCAGGATAATATAAGTAGAGGTCACCCTTCAACCACATATTGAACAGGAAGGCCAAAACATGAGTCCCCTGGTAGATCTGTCATATACAAATCAATAGCAAAAACGTATTAATGCTTCTCTAGTGCCCTTATAAGTATTGAGAACCAGAGCGAGGAAATGTGTCCTTGTCTAGTTGACATTAGAATACTGTTTATGCACAGTGCACATTTCTTTGTACTGTATTTACATAGCTTAATGGGGTTTTGAAAGGTCAGAGTCAGAGCTGTAGACATTTGGAACTGTGAATTACATACAGAGGCATTGTGGAATTCTTAATTATATTATTAAAGGGTTTACACAAGGTTAGTTTCTACCAAAAAAATAGATTGCTCTTGGTATACATTAATTTAAAACTTGGATTGTCACTTATTTTTTAGGCTTCTTTATCTGATGAGGAATTGCTATGTGCCAGATTCCCATCAGATAAAAATCTGGTCCTCCCGCACCATCCTGTATTTTCTGAAAGTGCATTTTACATCTTTCTTTCTCTAATTGGTGAATACCAAGAATTAGCATTGGAACAAGATGAATATGTTTTTTGAAAGTATTGTGGAAAGACTTTGGAAATGGAATGCTCACTGATCAAGATACTGATTAAATTTGTTTTGTTTTGTTACTTTTTTGTTTCTCATATGTATTTTAAAATAATCTCAGAAAGGGGCCACAGAAGTAATCAAAGTTCCAAGTGATTTAAAGAAAAATGACTATGCCAATGGGAGCTCTGCGGAGAGTTTGTAACAACAAAGCCAGCAACATTTCTTCAGTCACGGTGACTATTCTCCTTAATGTTGGTTTCTATAAGAGCACATGTGAGAATAGGGTTTCCTACTTTTAGATGAAACCACATTTATTCCCTGCTAGGAGAAGTTTGTTCTTCATCTAGAAATCTAATGAATTGGAAGAGAATAGGTAAATAAGTCAGAAAATGAGTCCTGACCAAGTAAGCTATTCCTTTGCAACTTTAATGGAAAGTGAATGTTTGAGAGGCAAATTAGTGCTCAAAACTGTCTTAAGCTTTAACAAGTTTTGCCTGACTGCTTTTGTGAGAATAAAACATAAGATATGTGGGCAACCTTAGGCTGACCATTAGACTGAAAATATTTAGTTCAAGAATAAAATACTTATGAGCAGAAATTGTTAGATGATAATGATAATAAGGTAAACCATACAGTGCTAAAAAGATAGCTAATATTGCAAGATGAAAGGACCAAGTTCAAAGGCTTTGACAGGTTAAATTGAATGGGGTAAAATTGACCATATCTACTATATATAGTATTGTTTATAGGTCCAATAATATAACCATAAAGTAAAGATTTAGTGACCTGATTGACACAAGTTTGTATGAGTCCTGAGGTTTTCCATTATTCTTGGACCCTGTTGCTGAAACAATGTTACTGATTTGGTAACCTAAGCTCATGGCAGCCTAAACGACATTAGTACTAGTATAAGTCCTTACATTAAATGGGAAAATCAATTCTCAAGGATCTGTACCACAGAGACACAGCATCTGACCTTTTGTTTGTAATTCTGAAAAGTTGCAGTTTATTTAGGAAAATACAGAGTGTTAGTGAAGTGTGCGACATGATTCCATATTTGTATTTATTGTGAAGTGAATGCCACAATAAGTCTAGTTAACATCTCTGGCTATGCATAGTTAGTTTTTTTCCTTATGATAAACTCTGATTCTTGATATATGAAAAGTGATTGAATAAAATGCACTTGGTTGAGAAGGAACCACTTAAAGATTATACTAGGAGTACCGGTTAATAATGCTGATTTTGTAATCAAAGAAAACACAATAATTTCAAGAGAAACATCAAAAGTGCTCTATTCAAAGTAATGTCCATCACTAGCTACACATTTCCCCCATCTTTCAGGTAATTTGTGGATACCGTCCCAATAGAACTTTTCTTGTTTTGAGGCAAACCATTCAGAGACCCAATTTTCCACTTCTTCGTATGTTTTGAAGTGCTGCTCAGAAAGCGCGTGTGCCATCGATCAGAACAAGTGGTAATCTGAAGGAGCAAGGTCTGGTGAATACAGCGGGTGGGTTAATACTTCCCAGGCAAGATCTTTTAGCGTGTCTTTGACTGGTTTTGAAGTGTGTGATGGTGCGTTATCATGAGGCAAAATTACTTTGCTGTTTCTTCTGGCCCATTCTGGTTGTTTCATGTTCAAAGCGTGGTTCAAATTGATTATTTGTTGTTGGTAGCGATCAGTATTAAGGTTTCACCTGGTTTTAGAAGCTCATAATACACCACACCTTCCTGATCCCACCAAACACAGAGCATTGTGTTCTTTCTGAAGCGATTTGGCCTTGCAGTTGATGTTGGTGGTTGACCTGGATCAACCCATGATTTTGTGCATTTGGGATTTTCAGAATAAATCCACTTTTTATCGCCAGTCACAATTCGATGTAAAAAGATTTTCTTTCATGCCATTGAAGCAACATTTTACTGATGACTTTTCGGTTTTCCATTTGTCTTTCCCATTGCTTGTAAAGGATCAGAAATTGTTTGCTGAGCAACGTTTCATTTTTCTGCAAGTTGTTTTTGAGTTTGACACACATCTTCATCCAATAATGCTTGTAATTGTTGGTCTTCAAACTTTTTTGGTTGACCTGGACGTTCTTTTGTCTTTCACATCGAAATCATCACTTTTAAAGCGTTTAAACCAGCGTTCACAAGTATCTTGAGATGGAGCATGTTCACCATAAGCTTCCCGAAGTATACGATAACTTTAAGCAGCACTTTTCTTCAAAATAAAGTAATGAATTAAAACTTCCCACAAATGCTCTTTTTTTGGCATGAAATTCGACATTTTTAAGTGTAAAAATATCTATGATGTTAACACCTCCAGAAAATTTGACAGATGAAGTTTTGAAGCTTGCTGTCAATACAATAAAATAGCATACAAATCAAATCGCATATATATCAACATATGTGTAACTCCATCTTTTGAAAAAAATCCGCATTATTAACCGGTACACCTAGTATGTGAGTTGTATTATTACAGCAAAATAGTTAGCTTTAAGAGCCGTGGGACCAGGCTTTGTGTTTGATCCAGTGCCATTGGATGATAAGTTGCTTAACTATCCGCAAATTACTTCAATATCTTTCCCCCGTTTCCCCATATCTGCAAAACAGCATTAATAACTGGGCCTGCTTTGTAGGATTGTTGTTAGCATTAAAAGATATATGCAAAGCACAGTGAACCTTTATTGAGTGTTACTCAATAAATTTTAGTTACTATTATTGTTGTTAACACAATTGCCACTAAATATTTGGAAAGAGGTTCATGTGCAAATGAATCAAGAACTCTAACTAGTTTCAGAGGCAGAACTATCAATGGTACATTCAGCTTTAACATGATTAAGATGAACTCAATATAAGACCTTAATATCAAAGTATCAGGGTCTTCCTAAGGAAACAATGGACTCCTATTCCCAGAGGATTTTTAAGAGCAAAAATTAGGGATCATGTATAAGGGAATCCTAGATCGAATGGGAGATTCAAGCAGATAATATATGAAGCCTCACTGCACATTTTCTGTTTGGGAAAATTAATATTTATAATATAGGTTATATTTTATTTATCACTTATAAATCAATAAATCTGGGGAAAATAAATACAATAAAATATAGATTTTAATGATTTATATAAACTAATGCATACTGTGTCTAAAATATACTTCTTTGTTGTTAAAAAGCTATTAAGTTGATATTTTATGTAGTATTTTAAGAAATATGGCTGTGAAGTAATTCAGATCTTTGGCCAAGAGCAAAGCATAGATGACATTGAGAAAGCAATATTTCAGATTGTTGCAGTGAGGCCGGATGAAAAGTTTAGGTGACAAGGAGAGGAAATTCTAAT